CCTTACTTCTGTCCGTTCATCAATCATCGTCAAATTTATGTCAGATTATTCAATCTATTGTAATTCTAGCGTCTCCAAGTAAAGGGGGGAATCAACTTTGTAATCCATCCAAATTTAGTGGAATTTTTTTATTTGGGTTAAGCCCCGTAATTTTTCCCTTTATAAATTTTCCACGTAAAAAAATTTTATGGTGCTGTTTTCTCTATCAACTATCTGTTGGTGTGTCGAATATAGGCATATTGCTAAGAAACTATATTTTTTACTCTACTGCCAAGTATATTCTTGTCTGCAAGTAAAAATGAGTCTACTCATGAGATAACTCTAATTTGTAATTTAAGTTCAAATTTGTACTCAATTAATAAGATATACTGACTAAAAATTATGGCCTCAAAAGTACCCTTATGACACCTGTGTGGGGTCAGGTAGATTTTTATTATTATTATCTAGTGTGAGTAGTTAAGATTGTCAATAAAAGGAAATTTTATTAGGATTTGTGCTACTTTCCACCTAGCTGCAGTTAGCAACATGCTTAGTACTCCTTAAATAATTAACTAATATAATTTAAAAGTGTGATTAAATATTTTAATAATCCCATTAGCTACAAATATGTAGCTAAAAATCACACCTAATTATATTTATAACTTAAAACATACTTTTTAAAGTGTGGATATTGTTTATGTTTTAAACTGTTTTAGATATTTTTTTATTGGGAAATTTACATACATACCACTTTATAACATCATATTTACATATCTAACACCTAAAACTTTAATATTACATCCATACCACTATGGGTGATATTTATGTAATATTAAAATTTTAGGTGTTAAATATGTAAATAGAATAGTATTAAGTGGTATGTATATAAAACTCCCTTTTTTATATCAAAACATCACTAATAACCCGTAGCCTTCGTTTCCAACTTTCTTACTCTTTTTCTTTTTGAATTGGGACCATAATTTTATTTAGTCCTTGTTTTTTCAATACTTTCAATAAATTTTTTTTCTAGAAAGCTACTTTCTACATCAACTTTCAAAAAAGTTATTTTATCTATAGTAGCTTTACAACCAACTTTATAAAAAGCTGAAGTCATCCCAAATGGACCCTTAGTTATATGTACCAACTCAAATTCTTAACTACCGAGATATTGTTTATATCCAAACAACTTTGTACAAAGTCATTCCAAATGGATTCTAAGGCTTCATTTGGGGAGGCTTTTTTATTGTTTCTTAAATTAACTTTTTAGTATTAAAATTTAAATTTTTGTACAAAATAACAGCTTTAAAAAATGGTAATAAAGACGTCCCTAAGTCAAAATATATGCTGCCAAAATTTGTAAACACTTCATTATAATTTAATTGAAATGGTTGAATGCAAAGCAAAAAAAAAAAAACAATTGCTATATGATATAAAGTAAAAATTGAAAACTTACTTTTAATGTCTGTTATGTTGAAACAACTTCATTGCAATTTTATTGGGAATGATTATTCATAGATTGCAGTTAAAATTTACTAAAATCTTACATCTAAATGAGCCTAGTTCAACCATTATAATCGGGCACTAGCTAATTAGCCAAGGTTGAGTAGAGTGTAACAAAAAATTTTTAAAAAGCAACTAAGAAATAAGGGCCAAAAGTTGTCCCAAACTAAGATTAAAATTCTTACATAGTCATCATCCTTAGTCATCACAGGCTGTAGTCACAAGACAAGCGAATGCCCGTCGAATGCAGCTCCCAGGCGGACAGAAAGAGGAATCGCGCAGCGAGTTCGTTGAATGGGTGCGCTAGGGCTGCAATTAGGGGTGTCAATATTTGAGGGTTAGGGTCGACCCGTTTGAACTCGGGTCAGTTCTGGGTCCGACCCGAACCTGACCCGTGACCTGAAATTGACACCCCTAGCTGCAATAGAGGAAATTTATTTATTTATAGCAGCATTAAAATCTCTATCTATACTTATCGATAACATTGGTTTAGAAACTGCAGTTAACTACCGAGATATTGTCTGCTTTGACTTAAGAGTTTCACGATTTGTCATTTGGTGTAACTTTCTAGTAGGTCATCAATCCCAAAATTGCTTTGAAATGGGCACGTTTAATTGAGAGGTTTCTTAATGAAATTCTAATCACTAAACTAAAAGGCACCTTGATATTTAAGAGATTAGGTTCTTTTACTTATGGGGTTTCACAAGTTACTTAAGTATTATACAATATTTTAAGATAATATGCAAGCCTAAAGGTTTGATTTGGACAGCTTGCTCATTGCTTTTCTTGCAGATGGCAATCACAATTTTGTTTGAATGCTATCTTCTTACTATTTTTTTTATTGTTTTTCAATATTTTTTTTTGTGAATAAAGCCATTTTTTGCTATCAGAATAATTAAGTTGCTTTCATCATAGCAACTTTATAACCAACTTTATAAAATGATGTAATCAATCCAAACAAAATCTTAATATATAAACAGTGTGTCTAAAATTTTTTTATTAATAATAAATAATAAATCAGAAAATATATGATTCAACAAATTTATGAATTGAAATAATAAATATTTTTCAATCATAAAGCCACGAATTCTTTCACTCTATGAATATTTTTAAGAAAATAAAACAAATAAACAATTTTTAGTTATAAAAAAAATTGATTTAAAACTCAAAATTGTAATAGTGATTGGTCACTAGATTTTTAAGAAAAATCAACTTTGATATCTCATGATCCTTGTTAAATAATATTGCATCCAATCTAAGAAAATATCACATTAAAGTAAAATATTTAACTTTGAAAGAAAAAAATTGCTTTAATTTTTTTTTTTTTGCTTTATTATATGCTATAAAATTATTTTTATTGAAGTTTTTAAAATATTAGTTAAACTTTTGTTGCATGTATTAGAATATTCATAACAGTAGGAAAAAAAAATATATTTTAAAAGAAAAACTTGCACACAAATGTAAATTGAGAGAAGCTCCTAAGAGAAATCAAAATTTTTAGGATGAAAATATTAAAAATGGGAAAATTAGGCCTAGCCTCATGTAATGATTCAACTAGGAGTATAAACGAGTTGAGTCATGATTGAGCTAGTTACTCCCAGCTTGAGCTTAAGCTAAATAAATTAATTAAATTTGAACTCCAACTCAAGCTTAATTCTACAACTTCGAATATACTGACAAAATTTTATAAGATTTATACGGGTAACTTGACTGTCATAAGATTCAAAAGAATTCGGGCACTATCTCTATTACAAGGTGTGATTTCAAGGGTTGCTTCAAATATTTCCTTATCAATGTTGGAAATCATATTTTAGAAAGATAACAAGTAATTAGTTTCTTAATTGCAAAATAAGTTTGAAACAGTTCACGCTATCATTCCATTCACTCGTAAAAACTTTAATCTACGTTACGACTTTAGTTTCGCTTGAGACAACTTTTGGCAATTATTTTTTAATTTATTTAAAGAAATTTTTATACTGAAAAGTTACTTTATAAAAGGATAAAAAAACTAATCCAAACGAAGCCTTAGTAATCTTATGAATAATGATCATATAAGAATTACATGTTAAACTCGTTTACAAGAAAGTTGAAATAACATAAATCATTTGCAATGCCATTTAGATCAAATGGCCATCAAACTTGTTGATGTCATACTCATTATATTCCTCTTTAAGCTTTGATACTAATTATTAATAAAATACTATTTTTTATACAGAAGCACCCACAAAAAATAATAAAATAACATATAAAATAATAAAAAGGACCAAGCATTGCTAGTGGGCCTCAAAATTTACATTACTTTGCCAAACTTTTAGCCTACACTGAGGAAAAAAGGAGAACTATCAATCACTCTTAAAAACTCACATAAGCGCGCAAATATATAGTGCTTAAAAATAATGATCTTCCTAAAAAAAGTGCATTCAAGGTCATCACAAAATGCCTAAAATATCTTAATTTATAAAAAAAAAAAAATCAAATTCCTCGGAAAATTTAAGAGTACCCAAAAGAAATAAATTTCAGAATATAAAAAATAACTCATGGTAGATGCTCCTAGAAGTTCTCTTTTTGTCTCTCTCTGCATAAATTATTACTTGCGATCATCGGGCTGTTCAAAACAGGATGCGCCACGTCACCCCTTTACACATCAAAATGGTGCGTGGTGTGTCATAATTCTCCTCTAGATGACGTTCGGTGGCATCACATAATAATTTCTCCTTTCTGACATATATATATTTTTTATTTTTTTGTCAGTATCAAGACATACCCCATAAAGCACTTGTGGGAAAAAAATTACTTCAGGATATATATCTTCAGACATGATTAAGATCAGAATGGATATGCATATTTTAAGATTTACATAGCTGAGATTAATTAGTGCAATATATTATATCATTTGTAAGTACTCATCTCAATGCAAATCCAAAAAACATTCAAATCCATATTAACAAAAATTGCCTTCCATTTTTTCTTCTAATATTTATAATAGTTTAAGTGGGAGAATTTAAATCTAAGTTTTATTCAAATATTTAGTTGAAGCTAACACATACATAATAATATTATTTAAGTTTATTCAAGTAAAATATTTAAGTTTATTGGTGAGTATATGATGTGGTGGATCTGCATAAGAAAAGCATATGCTAGAAAGAACACTCAAATTTGTGAAATAAACTAAGCTAAAAGCTCAAAATAATATCATATTCATCATCCCTCATACCCACTTAACATTAGCTATTTATAAATCAAATAGAATATTTTAGAATATTCTAGAGAAGAGGCATAAAAATATATATGCTACTCCTAAGTTATGTCTTAACTAATATGTTCCTCACCAGTACATTTCTCAACTATTAAATATAAGATTAAATATAAATGTCACTTAATAATTTTACATGCGTGTAAATGCAAAAAAAATCCAAAATCTAGAAGAAACACAAAATTTGCAAAGGCAAAATTCTTAGAAAATATTCTGCTTATACTTTTGTTGCAAATCTCATGCATTAATAAACAAGATGCCAACACTTTCAATATCCAGGAACAAGGAAAGTCGAGAACCAGATCACAAGCTCGTCATTGTAATCCAATTCTCCAAAAGAGAAAAACTTGGCATCAATGGATAGACGACAGAGAGGACAAGTTCTCCTACACAGAGCCAGCCATCGATCAACACACTCACGGTGGAACATATGGCGGCATGGTAGCTTCCTTGTTCCTTCTCCTTCCTCCAGACTCGAAAGGCAAACACAGCAGTACTCCATTTGAAGCTCTTCTGTGCTGATTTCTTCACATCTCTTGAAGAAATCTTCAAGGCCAAGGATTTGGAAGATGAAGGAAATAAAGGTGCTCATGATGATTAATATTGTTAAATTCCTTTTGAATGGGAATTAAGCTAACTGGTTAGCGAATGGGAGTTCTTTAATAAGTGCTTTTAAGTGCGTTTCTGTGTTTGATGAGAAGATATTGCTTAGATGACAAGGTTGGTTGGAGAAACATGAGTTATAAGGTGAGGTAAGGTTTCAATTATCATAAAGATTTATGGTGGAATAAAATATTTTTGTACTAAAAAATTCTTAATGAAACAGTAAGAAATCTGTTCCAAACAAAATCTTAACAGCTCAAGCAAAACTAGATTGAAAAAAATCCTAAGCAATTAATGTTATCAAATTGTGTTTCATGATTGCTGATTTTGGACAAAATGAAGCAGGTTGGCGCGTCAAGGAAAATGGTTAGTAGTTTGTAATGCCACCTAACAGCTTGAGAAAGAATGTGAAAAGAATTTCGTTGGTAGAATGTCGGGGTCTTTGTCTAACAGATGGTAGGTAGTACTGCTAGGTAAATCTCATCTTAATTTTTCTTAGGCTTAAATGGTGAATGAATTTGACTTGAATTTGTTTTGCCCTATTACTATTCATTGGACAGTGGAGAAATTGAGTGGAAAGAGAGAGCTTTTTGGGTTAAAATTACGAAAATAGAAAAAGAAAATAATAAAATGAAAAATAGTGTCATTCTTAGGAGAGATTATTACATGCAGAGTCTGGACCAAAAAAAAAAAATCAGTTTTATGACTGTGAACAATAAAAACATTGTAAAAGTGCGCAGTGAACTGTAAAAGTGTAGTGGTGAATAGTAACTGCGTTTTTACAATTCACAATCATAAAATCAAACGATTCTCTGAATCTCGACTCCGCACATAATAATCTCTTTATTCTAAGAGATCCGGTCTTTTTTTTTTTTATTGTTTTGGGTGTTGATAAGTTTTTTTTTCTTATGATAAGGTTATTTATTTCTAGCTTTAATGCATTTTTTCCTTATGCATATCAAGTAATTGGAAAGCATTTGACATGAATTGATTTATGACACATTATTTGGAGGAGAATGTTGTTTCTCTAAAGTCGTGAATTTGAGTCACATATTTGATGATTTATCACTCATATTCTCATAAAAAAAAAATGTCACATGTGAGATTACCATGATTGTTGATGAGATTTTGAATAAAGGAACTAAGAACATTTATCCATACTACGAGCTCAAACACTATAATAATTAAGTGCAACTTTCAGAATGATAAATAAATATTTAAAAAAGATAGAAGAAGTAGACTAGTAGAGTTAATTTAAACTCTAATTTTCACATTTTAAGGATTGAATAAACTTTTTGAAATGATTGTCTCATCTTGACACTTTATATGACATAAACATTGGCTGAATCTGAAAAGGTTAGGGGTCAATTGAACCCAAAATAATAGATGTTCATTGGGCATGAAGCCCAACGGGGTATTTACTATTTATAGTGTCCAATTATTCCTGGGTAACTATTTACATGTGCTTCATTCGATAAGATTATATTTTTTTTCAAAACTTCTATGACTTCCATTTTATGAGCCATATTTTTCAAAAAAGGCTCATGAAATACTAAATTCTTTATAACAAGTTTGCTCCATAAACCCTCTTATCCATTTAAAAAGTTATATCATTTTCATTTTGAAGTAGCTCAAAGTTTAATCCATAAACCTTCTTGTCCATCACAAACACATTATAGCTTTACATTAATTTGTATCAAGTGGTATCAACGCCAAAGTCTTTTGATATAAATTTCAAGATTAAGACTTCATTTGGGATGGCTTTCTCGCTGCTTACCAAACGGCTTTCTTGCTGCTTATTAAAGTAGCTTTTTAGAACATAAATTAAACTTATATACTAAAAAAACTACTTTAAATAGTAAGAAAATCATTCCAAACGAAGCCTAAGTGATTTCAAATAATTGAAGAACACTTGTTCTTTGAAAAATGATAAATGCTTTAGTGGTTCCATAATTTGTGAATATTAGTAAGAAATTTTTTCATCTCTATCATTTTTTGTTATAGTGTAATAAATATTTTCTAAATATTTTTTCTTCCATTTTCTTTCCTTTTTTTCGACCATGACAACTTAACATTAAAATAGAAAATTAGAATAGCTATAAGTAACGAACCAAAATATCAACTACAAGAAAAACTCACTTTTTTGAGAGAACATATCAATCAATATTAAATTTTTTTCATAATAATTTAAAAACATTGAAAAAAAAAAAAAAAAAAAAAAAAAAAATGAACCCAAAATAATAGATGTTCATTGGGCATGAAGCCCAATGGGGTATTTATAGTGTCCAATTATTCTTGGGTAACTATTTACATGTGCTTCATTCGATAAGATTATATTTTTTTTCAAAACTTCATTTTAATTCTTCTTCCATTTTCTTTCCTTTTTTTCGACCATGACAACTTAACATTAAAATAGAAAATTAGAATAGCTATAAGTAACGAGCCAAAATATCAACTACAAGAAAAACTCACTTTTTTGAGAGAACATATCAATCAATATTAAATTTTTTCATAATAATTTAAAATTAGATTTTTTTCATCTAATATAAAGAAGCTCTTTCATCATTTGAATACATTTCTTAAGAAAGTTTCTTCGAAGAAGAGTTTATCCTAAACACACAACTTGATATCTTTGAAACTCCCCTATAATCATCCATAATCCCATCTTACAATCTTTTACTATCTCATACACCTCGAAGTCCTAATATTAGCATTCAAAATATAAATATTATTGATATTAAAAATTTTTTATAGATGTCAGTTTATAGGAGATAATATTATTTATGTATAAATACAACCTTTCTCAAAATTTGTGTATCAAACGAAGCGTCTTAGTGCTATGCTCTTTTTCTATTTCCAAACAAACTATATAACGCCATAGCGCTCGAGTACGTACACAGTGCCACATTGAAATAATTTTTTTTGTTAATATAAAACTTGCGGTAGGAGGTTCATTAAGAGGAAAAATTATTACATGCGGAGTCTGGGCGTCGCCCGGACTCCATTCAAGTGAATACACGTAGATTTTTTTTCTCTTGTACACAAGTTGTATATAAGAGAGAAAAAAGTTTAAATGTCTTTCTGTGATTGGAATTTACAGCAACCGAACTCCGCACGTAATAATCTCTTCATTAAGAGAGTGAAGGAGGCTTCATCTCTATTAGAACTGTTTATTCATCCTTGTGAATTTCTTATGTTTCCATCTGTTTACCGTCCAATTGAATATTTTCTGGTACTGTCCTTAAAAGCAAGCCGGTTCTGCTCAAGAGCAAACTCTAGTTAGGAAATGAGATGCAAAACTTGAGGGATTTTTAGATGAGCACTGCTAATTAGCTTTTCTGAACGCTGCTTTATTTATTTATTTTTTTAAACTTCTCATTATTTTTGAGTTGTATTAGTGAATTTATATTAATTATTACCATATAATTCATATCAAAATTCAATATATTTTGGTGCTTAACAGTACCCGTATGATAATTCCAGCAAGAAGGGCTTAAACAACAGGACCGCTCTACTGTTTACCAATGCAATGAAACCACCTCAAAAAAGAGAGATAATTATGTGCGGACATGCACTTGTGTATTGATTAGCAGTGTATAGCCAATTGCGAGAAATATCAAGCTGTATATTTCAGGCGATCGGCCGTTCGTCCTATGTAACTGCTTGTGTTGCCTAGAATTTGGCTCGACCCTTCACTACAAGAAAATTGGTAAATAGCGACCTCCTATTTGTTCATATCCTTAATCGTCGTATGCTTCCTAGATATATCACGGGTCAAGGGGCAGCGCATCTGGAGGTTTCCCGGCAGCTCCCCTGAAACAAATTTTGGTTGTAAGGATATTTTTGGAATTCAAATTAATAAATAATATGATGAATTCTATTTACTATTTGTTGGAGACAATTACCTAAAGACAGTAGCATTTTAAAATTTTTAGGTGGGGCAATTGCCTAAAAACCCTTGTAATAAAGACTAGAAAATAAATAAAAGATGACAAATTATCTAAAGAATAATATATAAAAAAAAAAAATTTAGGGGGGGGGGGCAATAGCCCCCACCTGACGAGTACATGGCCGGGAGAAATTATTCTCTGCGGACGCCGAACGTAGTTTATCGTCCGGAGACCGAATCAGAATGTGCCACGTCAGCAGTACCGAGACGAGTACTGAGCATTACCGAGTTGCGGTACCGAGCAGGGGGCGACGTGGCTCATTTTGGTTGGTCTCTGAACTCCGTTCGACGTCGGCGCATAATAGTTTTACTTGACTTAGAGGGGGTTCCGCCCCTGCTCAAGTGTTGTTCAGCTTGGCTCATTAAAAAAACAAATTAAAATTTTTGCTTGTGTCGTCTACCTCGTTAACTTACCAAGTTGGGCAGAAGATTTTGATGAACATAATGTCCATATGAAAACCAACATAAAAAATAGAATGCATGCAAATATTGTCACATATATATACATATATCCATATCCATATAAAAAAAAAATATGTTTCATAATATTCATGTATCTACATACATATAAGAACACAAACACACACAATCAAGGTCCTATTTGGTGTCTGGCTCTTAAAATTTGCAAGCATAAAAAAATTAGCCTGGAAATGGAAATAAAATTGCCAATTAGCTAACGTAAGTGAGACTCATATTGATGTCCTAGAGTTCCCAGGAAATTCATGGCGATAGATATCAAAAGTTACTTCTTACTTTTTCGCTTGCATAAAAATCTAGAAATAGATGTAGAGAGATAAAGTTGAATGCATAGATCTGCAAGAAAAATTTATAAAAAAAAAAATTATGAGAGAGAAAATTCACTACAAGAAAATTAGTCAATAGCGACTTCTTATTTGTTCATATCCTTAATTGTCATATGCTTCCTAGATATCATTACCCAAGTGAGATCCATAATTTTAAGGGTAAGCCGCTCTGCTAGGGTTTCGTGGTTCGGGGCGCTTTAGGCCACCCCGCGGTGGGTAGTGAGACTCATATTGATG